TACAGGTAAGATATTTACCTGAGTGTCAGAAGAGACTTTGGACTGTGGACTTTTGAATAATATGGAGACTGATAATAACTATGGGGACTTTTAAAGTTGGACTAAATGCATTTCACATTTTATATGGTCATGAGCCTATGGGGGCCAGGGGGTGGAATGTAATGCTTTGAATGAAAATGTCCCCTGTAGGCTCCAAGTATTTGGACATTTTTCCCCAGATGATGGCGCTGTTTTGGGAAGTCTTTAGAAGGTGTGGCTATCCTGGAGAAAGCACATCACTGGGGTGGGCTTAGAGAGTTCTTAAGCCTTGCCGGATCTCCAGTTGCTCTCTTGCTTCTTGTGCCTATGTGATGATGTGAGAGCTTCACTTCAGCTGCTCCTGCTCCAGCCACCTCCAACCACCATGCCTCCCTGCCATGATGGACTGTAATTCCCCTAGAACCGTACTCTCAAATAAACTCTTCCTTCTATAAATTGCTTGGGTATTTCTATCACAGCAACAGAAAAGTGACCTATACAGATGGTTTGCTGCTAGGATGGTTAGCTGCTAGGACAGAGTGATGGTTAATCTTGGTTGTCAATTTAATGGCATTTAGAATCACCATGGCAATGAGAGACAAGGAGTCAGACAGATTCCCAGAAGGCAGACAGACAGGGAAAAGAGGTTCTAGCTAGATTAATGTTGTCTTCACGTAAACATTTAAGATAGTGAACTTCCTGATTCTTCTCCGTTTCCAAGACAAAGATCTACTGAGCTTTTAACCTAGCAGAGGGGAACTGTTCAGAGGACTTTCAAATCTGGGGAAAGGGGTGCTTCTGTGGTATGGACCAATCAGCTTCCCTGTGTTTGTGTGGATTATCTGATCCCCCACAATAGCCCAGACCAGCCAGTCCTGGAGAGAGAAAGGGAATTCACCCCGTCCCCAAACATTAAAAAGTTTTGGATATGCCCAGACAAACCTGGACACCATCTTTGAGTCCCCTTCCCACCTGGGGAGTCTGACTTTTGTGAGCTTTGCTGTGTGTGTTTCTGCTTTTAATAAAGCTTGGCTGAGTGCTGAGGCCTTGCTTTGTCTGCCTTCTCACTCTTTAAATCAGCAACAAAAAAAAACATCTGTTCCTGAAACCCAAGACCTGAGAGTGAAGGCATCAGAACCAACCTCCGGACATGTCTGTAATGGAGTTTCTACATTACATGTCTGTAATTGAGTTAACTAAGGAGGGAAGACCCACCCCAAATGTAGGTAGCACTAGCCATGGACTGGGGTCCTGGGTTGACTAAAAAGGAGAAAGGGAACTGAGTACCAGCGTTCATCTCTCAAATGGGGAAGAAAAAGTCAGAAGATTATATGTTCCTTCTGATTCCTAGCCAGAGACTGACGCACACAATCACAAACAGATGTTATTAATTTCTCTCATTTGTAATGAGCTGAGCTCTGTTTGCAGTGATTGATATGTAAAGAAACACACATACATTCATACATTATTTTTCTAAAGATTTCTATTTATTTTTATTTTATATGTATGAGCGTTTCACCTGAATGTATGCAAGTGCACCACATACATGCCTGGTGCTCAGAGGGGCCAGAAAGTCAGATGTGTCAGCCACCATGGAAGTGCTAAGAATCAAATCTGGGTCCTCTGGAAGAGCAGTAAGTGCTCTTAACCACTGAACCATCTCTCCAGTCCCCCATTCATTCATATATTATTGTAAGTCTGGGGCAAGGAAGGGTCACGAGAGACTAAGGTCATACAACCAGGTCACAAGAGGAACACATTGCTCAGTGAACTTGTTTACATTATAAAGAGGGAAGATATGATTAACTTTTTGGTCGCAAGCCTAGGTAAAAGTACATCATGTGTCCAGAGTATGTCCATATTGTAAAAGTTCTTACTATAACCAACTGTAAACACCTATATATAAGCACAACACTAAATGGACTAATTTGGGGTGGCGGGGAGAGAGAGAGGGAAATAATTATAGGAGAGGTCATGAATATGAAAGGCAGTGGATGAGCATGAGTAGAGTCTAAGGACAGAGAGGGAGAGGAAGAAACAATATAAAGTGCTCATATATAAAATTCTCAATAAAGACTGTATTACATACATGCATGAATTGTCAAAGAACAATAAAAACACACAGGTACATAAAAGTTTTGTATACCTTAAGAGATTACTAAGCCCTTGGATGCTCATGTATGGATCCCAGATATACATACACACACACACACACACCCCTATAATCTGACCTCATTTCTAGGATGTACTCGGTAACATAACTGTCCACATATGTTGAAATGCCTTCTGTTCTCTGCCACATCCTTCATAATAGCAAACACTGGAATTAATCTAATGGACTATCAATTATGCAGTGTCATGGCCAGTACCAGAATGGGGTGGGTTGCCCCTTACAACACCAAGATTCAGTCAAGTTCAAAACCACAAGGCACAGAACAATGGGTCAAGGATGGCTGCAGCACAGGCCCAGCATCGCTAAAAGGACAATAAACCAGAAGTATAGTGTGTGGGGGGGTGCTGTGTGTGTGTGTGTGTGTGTGTGTGTACGTGCGCGCGCACGCTGGGGGCCAAACCACAAGTGGTTTGAGATTGGAAGTAAAACCACTGCTCATTTTTTTAATGCTTGTTATTATATTTTGAATTAAAATAAGATGGGTGTGACGGAATGGATGGATGGATGGATGGTTGGATGATGGATGGATGATGGATGGATAGATGATTGATGGATAAATGAATAGATGGATGATGGATGGAGAGTGAGAAAATTATGTCAGGGAGGGATTGGAGAGGGAGGGAAAGAGAAAGAGAAACAGAGAGACAGAGAATGAGATAACTTTTGAAAGAACTTCTGGCCTCGTTATTTCCCCAAATCTCCCCAGCCTTGAGAATAGCTGGAATCATAAATATCTGGCACAGACATTAATAGGAAAGTGTCTCATAAATGCTTCCCCAGCTCAGCTGCTGCCACTTGGGGCAGCTGAACTTCCCTCCCATGGTGCGGCTTCTCTGCCTCTTCTTCCTGTTAAACCAATTACAGGACCTGATCACAGTACCGCCAAGATTATTTTTAAAGGCTGATGGCTCTCATTAAATGTCCATTATGTCAGCCTCTTTGCTATGGTTACAACAAGCTTAAGGGCAAGTCCAGATGGTACAAATAATGCCCCTTCAAGCTTGGTCTGCAAGAGGCCAGTCAACAAATGGCCATTATCAGTTTGAGAGCCCTTAGACGCCTGGAACCCACAGGAGCACCCAGGTGAGAAGAGATGGTTGGGTAAAACTATCTTCGTGATCCCTAAGAGCTGTGATTGCATGTGTATCAGAACAGTGAACAACAGCTCCAAGGGTTGCTTGGGAACCTGGTAACAGGCTTGCCTGGTGTTCTGGAGAAGGTAAGTGACCTGAGGCTCTCTCTACACGGCCAGACCACTTAACTCTGAGTTGCCTGAGAAGATCCAGAAATCCCCCAAGATCCCCTCGAAAAGGTCCACTAAGTGGCTAGGGAGACAGCTCAGTTTGTGAAAGTGCTTAATGTGCAAGCATGAGGCCCTAAGTTCAAGCCCCAGAACCATCATTAAAAATCTGGTGGTTGTAAGGGCTGGGCGTGGTGGCACACGCCTTTAATCCCAGCACTTAGGAGGCAGAGGCAAGCGGATCTCTCTGAGTTCGAAGCCAGCCTGGTCTACATAGCGAGTTCCAGGTCAGCTGGGGCTACAGGGAGACCCTGTCTCAAAAAGACCAAAAAAAAAAAATCTGGTTGTTGTGGTATGCACTTGCAAACCGGGTGCTGGGGAGCAGAGACAGGCAGATCCCAGGGGCTCTCTGCCCAGCCAGTCTAGCTTACTTGGCAAGTTCCAGACCAATAAGGGACTCCATCCTCCTGGCCTCGTAAAAACAAACAAAGGTATACAGTACAAGAGGAATGATACTCAAAATCGTCGTCTGGTCTCCACCACCGCCCACCCCCACACACACAGAGTCCCCTGAAAAAGTCTCCAGCTTTCACCTTGTCTGATTGACAACTACATCTTTCTCACCCACTACTCCAGACTCCTGTGGCTTAAAAGACAAGGAAGGAGATGGAACCAAGGCTGGCTAATTTTTCCATCCTACAGAAAGTTCCGAATTAGGTCAACAAAGTCCTCACAGGGGTACACAGGAGCTGGGCACAGTATTACTGTGAGAATCCACAGACAGGCCTGAGTGCCCAAGACTCATCATGAAAAATAAGTTTTATGGGAGACGGCCTGCAAATGCATTCCCACGGGAAAGAGCAGCCAGCAAAGTCTTGGCCACTCCAGGCTAAGTATGAATGAGATTGGGGAGGGGGGGCGGGGCAGAGGACCCTCTATAACTTAAGCTCATATTAGATGGATTTATTTCCTGCTTATGTCCCACCTGGGAAGTCATGGGATGTAGGGAAGATTAATCTGAGAGGAGAAGGCATCCAAGTCCTTGTATAAAGCAGGCAGGACAGATCTAGACAAAGACCATTAGGCCCTGGCTGTGTGGGGCAGATTCTGAACACAGACCAGAGCCCTAATTCCTATCTGATTCCTCTAGAGAGACCCTTCTCTCTAACTCAATAGAAAAGATGTGACTCAGGTCAGTGTCTTTACATTTTCTAGTTGGACACAGAATCCATGAGAGACATCTGCTGTATTTCCCAGATGAATCAGATAGAAGACAGTCATCACACAAATGAGGAAGGCACTCAGGGTTCATCAGAGATGGGAAGATGGAGAGATCAATGTTCACCCTTTCTAACCTAATTCAGTCCCATCCCCTTCAGAGTGACTCCTGTCCACTCACCAAATTAGAGAGTAAAGATGGGATTCCTGCCCAAATGCCAGGCTGGCATTGAGCATGGTGAGTAAGCAGCCTGGAGGAACAGAGTCCCTGGCAACCCCTCCCACCCTCCTACCACCAGCCCTAGTTCGACACTCCCTGGCCCAGCCCAGCATCTGCAGCAGAAAGCTTGCCTGAAAGAAGCCCAGCACTACCTATCCGGATGGAAAGTTCATTCTCAGGGAAGAGCAGTGTGTGGCCCTCAGGATCAGACTTCTTCACCAATGCAGGGTCCAAGTTCAGTGCCAGGGCCGTCTGGGGGTCTTCTGCTGCACCCTGAAACAAGAAGCAACAGTGTCACTACAACACTTCCAGGTACTGGGGGATCCTGACCCTGGGCCCTTAAGTAAACAGGAGCCATGTCAGCCAAGAGCTCAAGGAGAAGCATCTGCAAGACCCCGCTTTGAAGATGGGCAGAATGTGAGGAAGGCCACAAGCATCTGGGTGGCCAACTTTGCAGCTTCCAGAAAACAAGATCTAAGGAGTTACTACTGATCCCACAAATGGAAAAAGCATATACTTAGACAGTCAGTCTGGGGCCCATACACCAAACCTCACCACACAGCTCACCATCGCTGGACAATTAGCACAACAGACATAGCTCCTGACCTATCCCAATGAGCCTGTAAGGCCAGCTGACCCACATGGTAGCTGCTTTAGTTATGCTGCTGGTCACTATGACCAAATGACTAACATAAACTAAGGGAAGAAAGGTTTATTTCACTCGCTGTTTCGGAGGATTCTATCTACCAAAGTGAAGCCAGCAGGACTGAGTAGTGCAGTTCACGTCACAGCAGGCAGGAGGCAAAGAAGGAATGTCAGTACTTGGCTGGCTTTCTCCTTCTCCACTGCTTCCATCCAGGCCCTGAGCTAGGAGGACAGTCTACCCACATACAGGATGGGTCATCTCCCTCAGTTCATCTCTGAAAACACCCTCACAGATACACCCAGAGATGATCTGCATCACTATCCTAGGTTATCGCAAGTCCACCATTTGTCAACGTGACACTCAAAATACCGCCCTTTAAACACAGCATTGTACCACCAGCATGAAATAGGATCATGTCCATCTCACAGAACCAAGTGGAGTCTGCCCATCTCCAAAAGTCCTCAAAGTCACAATTTCAACATAGTACGAAAGTCTGATCAGAATCTCTTCTGACACGATGCTTAGCTGTGAACACCTCTAAAATCAAAATATAAATCTCATCCTTCTGATGGCAGAGGGCACAGAGTAACGACTCCCATTTCAGAAGGGAAGACTGTGGGAATGGCAAATAGGAACGGAACCAAAGTAAACAGGAAATTCAGCAGGGAGAACATTAAATCCCATAGTTCCATATCTAGTATCTGGGGCACTTGGTGTCCTGATATGAGTTCCAACAGACTAGGGCAGCCCCACTCCTATGGCTGTGCCATTTGTACCCCACATGGGCTCTCTCTTGGGATAGCCTCACTTGCTGCCTTTCCTCAGCAGATGGTCTCTATCCCTCCACCATCATTTAGTCTCCAGCTGCAGCTCAGGCTTCCCTCTCAGTCACACATCGTCTCTCAGGAACTCCTCACAGTGAATCTGGCCCTGTTATATACTGCCTGGCCTTCCAGGCACCCTTAAAACTCTAGATGGAAGCCTCCATAACACCGGTGCAAAATCAGTGCTGAGAAAAATGTCCACCACCAGGTTAAGTGGCCAGATCAGCTTTGACCACAGTTTCAGCGGCCTCTGAGTGCCTGGGTGGCTGAACCTGGGAGAATAATTCCCTAGGTAGCCGTGTGCAAGCAGGCCACCCTGGTGGGTTTCTACTCACAAGGAAAAAAATCTTTCACATGAGCTTGCAGTCTTACATCTCAGAGTCTGCTGTGAGTGGGGTTGAACGAATTTCCAATTGCCTCAGGCAAAGTGTGAACCAATTTCCAATTGCCTCAGGCAAAGTGTTTGGCTTCTCTTCAGTGGCACTAATCTCTTTACAAACCGTACTGTCCTTGTCCACAATGCACCTCATTCCTTTTCTAGCTCACCACCCAGTTTTCAGATCCTTCTGCTCTGCTGTTCTGCTCCCAATTCTCATTATAAATTTGGCTCAAAGAAGCCAGCAATAACTGTGCCACCACCTGAATGTCTTGAAATACCCTCTGCCAGACTGACTAGTCCACGACTTTTTCTTTTTCAATTTTCTATTGATTTTAATTATGAGTATGTACGGCCACGACTTTTTCTTTTTCAATTTTCTATTGATTTTAATTATGAGTATGTATGGGTGGGGGTTTTGTGTGTGTGTGTGTATGTGTGTGTGTGTGTGTGTGTGTGTCTGAGTGCACATGCCCACAGAGGCCAGAGGAGTTGGATCCCCCTGAGAGCTAGAGTTACAAGTGGCTTTGAGCCTCCTAACAAGGGTTCTGAGAACCAACCTGGTGTCCTCTGCAAGAACAGTATGCTCTCTTAACTGCCGAACCATCTCTCCAGCCCTGTCCATTACTTGAGTTCAGTCTCCCACAAAGTTTTAGAACATAGGCAAAATGAAGCCAAAATCCTGCCAGAATATAACATGAATGGTCTCGAGTCCAATTCCATTAGAGTGCTTGTTCCCAGTGGAAACCTGATGCACACAGTCCTTCCTGTCTGCATTTCTTTTGGAATTTGGGTCTTCTGATCTTCCTACAGAATCACCCATTAAGCTATGTTTACAGCACCTGGGGCATCTCTAGCCACATCTCCAAACTCTTCCAAATTTTTCCAACAAACCAGCTCCAAAGGCTTGAGAATGGTCATGTTGTCACAGCAGTGACCCCACTCTAGGTACCAATTTTCTCTGTTTGTTACTTCTGTGTCACCATGACCACAACACCTGACAGAACAACATAAAAGGAGGAAGGATTTATTTCAAGGGGTGTAGAGGGCATGTCAGCAGACAGCAATTCACACCATGGCCATCCAAGAGGCTGAGAGAGGGGAATGTTGGTTGGTTTGGCTGGCTTTCTTCTTTCTGTCATTTATTATGCCCAGGCTCCCAGATAACAGGACAGTGCTCCCTACATTTAGGGTGTGCCTCCCCTCATAAGTTAATCAACTCTGACACCTACAGATGTGTCTCACCAATCTCCTTAGGTGACTGTCGGTCTAATCAAGTTGATAATGAAGATTAGCAGTTACCAATGCCTTTGCTTAGAATCCAAGGTGTGAGGGTTAATCTCAATTGTCAGTTGGATGGTATTTAGAGTCACCATGGGAACAAATCCCTGAGCATGTGTGGGAGGGATTTTCTAGATTAGGTTAACGAGGTGAAAAAACCTGCCCTAAACGTGAGTGGCACCGTTTCATGGGCTGCCGTCTCAGACTGAATAGAAAGGAGAAACAACAGCGTTCCTCACGTCCTGCTTCCCGACTACAGATGCTGCAAGCTCACCTGCCACTCCTCCATCATGCCTTCCCCATCTGCCCCTTGAACTATAAAGTGGAAAAACCCTTCCTCCCTCGGGCTGTTTCTTGTCAGGCATTTGGTCCAGCAACAGGAAGAGTAACCAACATACAAAGTCGATGCATTTATTCATGTTTCTTATAAAATCACAAGAGGAGAAAACCCAAACAAAAGCGTCTGTAAGGTAGAAAACAGTGAGACTGCAGAAAGCACACACCCGCTAGGAGTTATAACCAGATGCCAAGTCTCCCATCTACTAACTTTGGGGATTCTTGGCAAATAAGGCAAAGCTCTTACCGTTTTCTTTCAGCTCGAAGCTTATGCTAGGCCATAAGCTTCTGTCTGGAGGCATCGGGGGACACCACAATTCTATGGCACAGGATCTCAACAGGAATGAGGCAGGCAGCTACGTAAACCAACACCATAAGCACCTTTATTTGCACCCAAAGATCTTAAAGCCAAGGGCAAATAGGAAACATCAACTCCACAGGCAAAAAACCAGGAGACAGTTTTTGGAAACCAGGTGTCACAGTCTGTTCAGGCTGAAGTGATAAAATACGGTAAAGCAGGTAGTTTACAAACAACAGAATGGCGCGGCCATTCTGGAAGCCATTCTGAAGCTGGGAGGACAGCAATCGAGTCATGGGCCGTGTCTTAGCTTCATTTCCTGTTGCTGTGAGACAACACCCTGACAAAAACAACTAAGGGAAAAAGGGTTTACTTCACTCAAAATTCCAAGTTACACTCCATCATTGGGTGGGGGTCGGAGGGCTGAGTACTGGTGGCAGGAATGTGAAGTCACTAGTAACATTACATCCACTGGCAAGAGCAGAGAGCCGTGCATGAAGACATGCATGCTAGTGCTCACTAGGCTCTCTCCTTTCCGTTCAGTCCAGGGTCTGACCACACGCAAGAGGAGTCTTCTCTCAGGAATGTGAAGTCACTAGTAACATTACATCCACTGGCAAGAGCAGAGAGCTGTGCATGAAGACATGCATGCTAGTGCTCACTAGGCTCTCCACACGCAAGAGGAGTCTTCTCACTTCAGTTACTCCCTTAGGCATGCCCACAAGCCAACCTAACCTAGACAATTCCCTATTGAAACGCCCTTCCCAGAGGATTCTAGATAACATCAAGTTGACAAACAAAACTAGCCATCACAGGCAGATTTCCTGTCTGGGGAGGGATTACTTTTTGATCCAGTGACAGTACCTTCTAGCTTTGTGGCTCCCATGGTGGAAGGGTTTTAAAGGGTCCCTCTGTGTCCTCCCCTCACCCAAATCACTTCCCAAAGGTTCCACACCTAAAGCAGCCTTGGGGGTAGGAGGACACCTGAACCCCAAAACATCAGATCACACCACCAGGCAAAAATAGTCCACAAGAACAGAAATTCCCATCGAATGTACGTGACACTACTAGGGGAAAAGTGAAGGCTTAAAATCCGATCACAGAAATATATCCCTTTATAAGACAAAACTAAAATCTTCTGCTTTACTTTTCTTTATTCTTGAGAATTTCATACAGATAGACAAACTAAAACTTTTCTTGGGAAAAAGGTTTTTCATAAAATAATTTCAGAAAAGGTATGCTAGGCTGTATCTTACATACAACATACACATACAGATGTACATGCTCGCACGTACACACATGCGACCATTCCTTATCATGGCCCTGATGATCACGGATAAAAAGATAATCTATTCAGGCATTTCATTTCATCATTTCCTTCCAATTAAATGCTAAAATGAATACATAAGTATGTCCTCATGTCTTATCATGCATCTATAGTGTCTTAATCTTTATGTCACATCATCTGTGGAGTACTTTAATAATTGTACCAACACCTCGTTTAATTTTGTT